GAGTTTAGTAGGCGAACTGAGGGCTTTAGTAATTATCGATTGTGTGTATGTTGCTGTTGCTATTCTCGTGCAGAAAATACAAAGCTCCATTTTTCATTGCATACAAAACTAGAACTGTAGTGCTCTATATTTCAGTTTGAGGCGAGTGAGATTATAACAAATATGAAATCATCATTCATAGTTGAGGTGACTGAGTTATACAAAACCAAAACTATAGTGCTATATATGTCCTTTAAATGCAAGAACTTATTTGTGACTAGAAGAAAGCTCTTGCAGGTGCTTCATGTCAAACAAATTTCACTCTAAAAACAAAGTAAAATTCATTCTTTTCAATTAAATAATTTTATGAGTCATTAGCAAATCAAAAGAACTGATAGTCACTACTTTTCAAACATCAAACTAAATAAGATGGATCTTTAATAAAAAGTATTAATTGAAGCTTTAGTCCAAAAAAACAGAGTAAATTCCTTGAGCACTCTTCTCATAGCATCTTGCACTTTCGTATCATTATCATGTGTCTTCGTGGTGCTTGTCATTTGAGAGCTCATCAAAGCCTAATCCTTCGTTGTTGGTAATTGTATATGCGCCTATATGCATATATAATGACATAAAATTACTCCTTCAAAAAAGAAATTATAAATGGAAAAAGAAGAAAGTGTTAACCAATTACAAAAGAGTTACCTGCAATAAATTTATCATGCTAGTTGGACAGTGTAGATAACTACTTGTAGCATTCTGGATCCCTAAAATAGTATTGCTAATATACATATAAACAGAAGTGAAAAAAAAAAGTGTATAAGTCAACAATATATTTATGAAAATAAGTGCAAGCTTGTAGAAGTATAAGTGAACCTATATACCTGTGAAAAATCACATGGTTGTCCAGGCATAAATTGGGCTAACCAACCTAAATTTATATAACCGTCCAAAATTAGATGGAAGTCATCACTAAATGAAAGTAAAATAAATGTTCAAAACCGTAAGTTTCAATGAATCCACATATCAAAAGGCTACATACTGATTGCAATATGAGAGTATGAGGTAGAGTTATTTGTGTAAACCGACAACGGAGTCCACAGTTGAACATTTTAGTTCCTTATTTCGAGGCTTTTTCTTTTTTGTGGCCTTTTCTAGAGCATTACTTGGCCTCTTAGAACTTCCAACAACTTTTTACCTTGTTTTGATTCCTCTAACTTGATTGACATTATCATCAATGCATATAGTCTCATTGAGCTCAGATGCATTCACTTGAGTTGGTTGTTGAGTTGCTTTCACCTTTAAACATGCATCAATCTCTCCCAACGTCTTGTTTAGTCTTGATATAGCAATTTCATATGCTTCCGACGACTCTGCTACTCGTGTTGCTAATTGAATATGCAATTGACATAGCTTTCTATAACGCCTTACAATGTTCGCCTTTGGGTTATCTTTATTTTGAGATACTGAGAGTAACTTTTGCATTCCTAGACTTGATATTTTTTATCCATCTCTCCAAGACATACTGAGTTGGATGCTTGTAATATTTCTTGCAGAAAGAACCTTTAAAGCATGTGCACACAAGAATTCTGCAAAATCATACTTCTTACAACTACATAATACAGTATTGTCTGTCAAGTCAAATGTGACTATATAGTGCCAATTCTTCATATGAGGGATGATTTCATATTTGTCGACGCTTCCAATCTCACTATTGAAGTTCAAGACACAACTATGAGCTTTGCATAACTTGTTTTGAAACCATTTAAGCACTACTAGTGTATAAATACATGTTGCATGCTTTAATATTTATATTGGAAATGACAATGCATGAGAACTTTGACTTGCTTTAAATTCATCTCTCAAGTCTTGATATCGACGATCGTCAACTAGCCTTTCAAAATGTTTAACAAATCGTAACAAATCATATTTGTGGTTGACATACTTCTTAATAGCACTGTTCATACTTTCACTGCGTTGAGTAGTAGTAATATCAACACAAAAAAGTTTGCCACCCATAAACTAATGCCTATTTCTCTTTTATGGCAAACAATCGATTCAACCAATTATCGTCTGTAAGGTTATATGTTTGCAGCATGTTATTCCAAGCATCTAGAAAATCATCTTCGTCCTTATGGCCGTATATGCAACCACTAAAATCCTTGGCAAAATCATTAAAATTCTCAAAAACACTTTTAAGTTGCTTGGTTGCATTTTGGTATATGTGTCAAATGCATAAATGATGACACGTTTATGGGCACTTCTCAAACCATGATTTGGCCATTAAATCATCTTGATCAATTAGAATATTTTTTTTTTTCCATAAATAGCCTTGGCAAAAGTATCAAATAACCAACTGAAAGTTGCATCTGTCTCCACATACAATAATGCAGCACCAAATGCAACCGTTTGTTTATGATTGTTGATACCAACAAACATTGCAAAAGGCATTCCTTCTTTATTTTTTTTCTATATGTGGTATCAAAACATACAACATCACCAAAATAATCATAATCCACCATCATCCTTGAATCAACCCGAAAGATATTAGTAATCAAATCATCTTCATCCACTTCTATAGCATAAAAGGAATTAGGATCATTCAACTACATTTTTTGTAAATATTCCAACACTCCGCCTGTATCACCTCACTTCATCTCTATTGTTCACTTGGAACGCAAAGAGTTCTTATAGTCATCATGAATGAATCCAAGATTTGACGACCACCAGCTTGTTTACATAAATTCAACATTTTCCCTTGGTGCAATTTTTAGCCATATCAGCTTCAACTTTTTGTGCAAGAGACATGTTCCTATGTGACCTAAAAAACTGAGTCTTACTAGGACTTGATGTTGGATGTGTATGATTAGGAATAAATTCAATAACCTTATAGTTCTTGTCAATCGACCAAACTGGTTTGCATCCTTGCTTGACATCCAAATCTTGTTTTAGCGCAATGAGATTCAACATTGGGATCACGGTTTTTTTTTTTTTTTTTTATTTTTTATACCATGCCCTTCCAAAGAGCAATCTATCCATCAACTTGCCACCCTCATTTTTATGAGCTTTACTTTTTTTGAACACTGAAGCCAACGGTATAAGCATATGCATTGTAAAATGACAAATACTGGAACTAATTCTTTCCAAACATCATTTTTTTCCAAATCTACTATTTCCTTGTTTTCATAATCTATAACAGAATTCAAGTCAATACCTATTTCATAATTCAAAAGTGGCTTTTAATATGCTTCTATTTCATTGGCTTCACTGTAATTATCTTCTCCGGCCATGTCCTTAAGGAAAAATGAAAAATACAATATATGATCCATACATGATTCATATCTTTGGAAAGAAAGTTTGGTCACCGTTCAGTTGGGACGTAGAAACTTGTCTTCATTAATCTCATTGTCTACCTAGAAGCTTAAACAGAGAAGTTTGTTCGCCCAGGCAACTCAACAGCCACATAAAGAAAGTGAAGAATCCTATTTGGGTTTGCTCACCTCGTTAACCCAACAGTTTCTGATTATTTTGGATTTTTTTAATTTAAATGTTAAATAAATAAAGGACTTAGAGTACTTGAATCTAATAGAAGAAGTGACACAAAACCGAACGCAATGGCGTTCTAGGATTCATATAGCCGACCCCCCACTTAGTGGGAAATTGCTTTGTTGTTGTTGTAAATGTTAAATAAATAAAGTTAACAGAGTAAAATTTTAAGTTAAGTTAAAGGACATGTGTCAACATATTAGCAAGGAGACACAAATGACACTTTTAGGGGACAATAGACCTGGAGCCTAAACTCCCACCCCCGTTACCCTTCCCACCCCACTATTGCCATCACGCAGTGGCGGAGCCAGGATTTCTTGTGAGAAGGGGCATCAAACAAGTATAGAAGAAGAAAAAACGAATAGTAGTGGTTATAAAATTACTATTGCAAAACACCATAATATTTATCCAAATAGTTAAATAGTCAAAACTAACATATGCATAGATAATTTTATCTATTCATAGTAATCAAAATTATTCTTGACGAATTTCAATGAAACCGTTTCATGATGTCATCTATACGATTGAAAGAATTATTAAACTCAATAGAGAGAATTACGAAAATCTTTGCAAACCCTAAAACTCAAGAAAGAGGTGGGATATAATAGAATCAGATGTTTTATAGTGAATAATAGAGTATTACAAACCTTTTTGTTCTTTATTCAATAAATTTGGGATTTCGAAGGCTGAATATATGAGATTCAATAAGAACAAGTAAAAACTTTTCCCATGCATAAGTGAAAGACGATTTTTTTTAATTAAAAGTGAATGATGGGTTTTAATTTAATGTTATTGATTTGTGAGAGGATGGTGCCATCCACACATCTCTTTTTGCCTTTCATACACCCTCTTAATTTGCGGTCACCGGATTGAATGAATTGAATATCAAATGACATAAATTAACAAGAATGTGTGAAAAGTAAAAAAAAGTATATGGATTGCACCGCTCTTTGTGCTAAATGACCATTTAAAATATATACTTAATTTTGAGATGGGACCTATGAGATGAAAAATAGATTATGATTGAATTTGTTTTAGTTGTTGAGAAGGGTTGCAAAGCAATAGAAATAGGTGTAATACTAATCTTATATTTTAATTGAGGGTAAGCCTAAGACTACTGTAGTCCTTAACTGCCTCCGTCAATGCCACAACGCATACCCCACCACCCTGACCACCGTTGCCACCATCCCCCATCCTCGTTGCAACCGCAACATCATCCTCATCACCACCTCTCACCGTCTTAAAATTTATTTATATAATCATAAAACCATCCGCAAAATGTGTAATTTTAAAATGGCAAACGTTATACTCTTTTAAATATAATCTCCATATACCCCAATAAAATAAAAATAAAAAAATCTTTCTTTGGGTTTACAAAATTATTTTGGGCTGTAGTCACTTGATCCACGCTAATTAATATTAAACCGGTCAGACAGACCCAAAGAATATTAAGGGTGTATGGGCTTAAAAACCCAGATAAGTTTTGCCTTTTTCCTTTTTCACAATTTAATTTTAATAATTTTGAGTTCGATCATCGTCCTCCTCGTCCTCGCTTCAAAATCAAGCAAAGCATCGCAGAATTTAGTTCCTTACCAGCAATCAGAAACCCCAACTTTTCAAATTCGAAAATTATAATAATAATAATAATAAAAATATGGAGAGGGTGATGAACATAATAAAGCCAAAGCCAAATCCACAGCAGCAATTGAGAGATTGGCAGCGCAAGCTTCGCCAGGAGTGCCGCAACATCGAACGACAAATTCGAGGTAAATTTTAACTTACCCAGCTCTAATTTTTACCATAATTTTCAATTTTCTTCGAACTTTTGGGTTGTGGGTTGATTTCCATCATGGTTTAGGTTCATGGATCAGGAAATCGGATTAATGGGTAGTTTTAATTTTGATTGTTCTGCAATGGGTTTTCATCAGATATACAAAGAGAAGAGAAAAGTGTGCAGAAAGCAATCAGAGAGGCTGCCAAGAGAAATGACATGGGTTCTGCAAAGGTATTATTTTTTCCCCTTTTAAATTTGGTTCTGAGCCAAGGCTTTGCACTCCAAATTCTCCAAATTTGTTTCGATGAGTTTGTCGTCTGTGAATTTCCTTTGATGTACACCAAATCATAGTATTAGTAGGCTCTACAGAATACATGTTGCGGTTAATTTGAACGAAATCGAAATGGGATAGAAATGTCCAGTCCAGCCATTATAATATTGCTCTGCTTTTTCTACTCGGACCGTGAACTTATACAACTGAACTTTTCATTCTGTACTTATAGCTATTAACTGTTAATGAAGGGAGATGAGTGGCTGTCGATTTATTATGATCCCTGCGATCGGTTTCTGTGTTGTATGATAGTTCATAAATTGACAGAACTTATCTTTGATTAGTTTGTTAGTTTAATTACCGGCTGTTGTTTGACATTCCATGCGGTCATCCTTCTTCCCTTCTGTATATTCAGTTATCTACTCTGTATTAATTATTTCAGTCACTTGCTAAAGAAATTGTGAGATCTAGAAGGACAGTGAACCGTCTTCATGAAAATAGGGCACAACTGAATTCAATATCAATGCACCTTGGGGAGAGTGTTGGTAAGTCTGTAATACGCAAGCTTATGGTTCAGTATGGTTGTATACATTCCATCACCATTGGAAGTGCTGCTTTAGTAATAACCTCAGATTCCCGTTATCGCATGTTTACCTGTTTAAGTAGCGTAGTTTATTTTGGATTTTAAAACTGGAATCTTATTGTAGAGCTTGAACATAGTAGCTGTATGTGATATTATAGACTTATGTCATTGCATGTCTTAAACTAGAAATCTCTTTAGGTTGTTACGTGCTAGTGGATTGAAATGACAACGGATGCCTGCTTAGAGAAGATGATTCTTAGACTAGCGCAACCCTGCAACACAATGGGAAGTTAGGCCTCCGTATCGGAGGTGATTCTTAGACTAGCAACCAGGAAACATAACGTGAAGTTAACTTGTAACAAATTTGAAGATGAACTATCTTTAGTATAGGAAAAGTTAAATGTTCTGCTAGGACGTGTTGGTAAAACTAGTGTTTTATATTGAGGGGGTGGCAAGAGAAAACTTTTTTTTTTTCATTATTGTGGTTATGATTACTAATAATTTACAGTTTCTTGTTTTATGGACTGACTCAGTCTGGTCTTGTTATGGTTTCTGATAATATATTCTTGGAGTCTTTTCTCTTTTCCTTTTTTCTCCGTTTGTTAATATGCTTAATTGACTCAGAACCGAGTGCAATGGCGTTCTAGGATTCATATAGCCGACCCCACTTAGTGGGAAAAGGCTTTATTGTTGTTGTTGTTGTTGATATGCTTAATTAATCACCACCTTCCGAATGCTTCCTTGTTTAACATGAGTATGGGTGGTTGGTTTGATCATTTTTATGTTTGTCATTGATTCTGCAGCTATTGCCCGTACAGTGGGGCATTTATCCAAGAGTTCTGAGGTTATGAAGCTTGTCAATAACCTCATGAAGGCTCCTGAAGTGGCTGTTACGATGCAAGAATTTAGCAAGGAGATGACCAAGGTACTCCGTTATTTGTCTTTCACTTACACAGAAGCACAAACATGACAGTCTTTCGTTTTGTTTGTCACAGTTTTATCATACTCATAGCAACATTATTTTTTCTATAATGTGTATACAGAATTGCATTGGAATTTGGAAGTTCGTTATTTGTCCAAATATTCTTCCTCTTCTCCCTTTTTGTCCCAGATGAAAAGTTTTGGGAAAATGTAACCGCAAATAATAGGTTTTGGGAGAATAGTTTTCTTAAATTATGGCCTCTGTTAGATCTATTTGTTTGTCAACTGTATATAGATGTTTCCTGCTGGAAGAATTAAATGTTATCATCACTTATGTTTGTTGCTTTAATTAGCTTTTCATTAAGTTGTTCCCATAGTTTATTTAACGTCGTAACTCGTAAGGTATTTTGGTCAACAAGCAATGGTTATAATGTTTATTTGTAGGCAGGAGTAATTGAAGAGGTGGTGAATGATAGTCTTGACACAGCACTGGACTCCGAGGACATAGAAGAAGAAATAGAAGAAGAAGTCGACAAAGTTTTGACTTCTATAGCTGGTGAGACTGCTGCCCAGCTTCCAGAAGCGGTCAGGAAGGAGAGGTTGAAGCAACCTGCTACTGCACAAGCTAGACAGGAGGTATGTGTGACGTGACTATCATGAAGTCCCATTTCCAGTCATAAGTTTATACCTTTCAAAGAAGCCGAACAATATGATACATCATTTTGCTTCTGCAGGAAGAGGCCATAGCTGAGGGTGTCGATGATGAGGCAGAGTTGGAAGAAATAAGGGCCCGGCTTGCAAACGTTAGGTCATAAGATAAGTTGAAGCCCTTCAGCCATTCTCCTTTATCTGACCGGATTCTGCAGTAAAGCCCGTGTTTACCACTGACCGAGGACACCAGAGATGTATCGTCTGCTGTATATTAAATTGAAGCAGCTTCCGAAAGAGTTTACAAGTAAGCCGTTATTGTGCAATATTCAAATGCAACTCATTTCGTGAAACTTGCAACCAAACTAGTATCACTGTGTATTGCGTTGCGTATGTTTTTCTATCTTTGGTAACTGCGGCTGGAGCTTCGATCTACTTTCTCCGTGTATTTTCGCTCAATATCTGTACTCAAAACGGATTGCAATTTACGCATGAAAAGTATTGCACGCATGCATCATCCGTTCTTTTTACATGTTATCCGTTCTTTGGCGATAAGGTGATGATAACGCATGAATTTTGGACATAACATACGGACATGTTGTCGTTTCAATAACCACATTTAGCTTTAGCAACTTGTGGTTGTATCAGATTTCACCTATCATTATCAAATTCTCCTTTTTGAGACTTTATGGACAAATTAGGTCGTAGTAGTTGGTCGTAAAAGCAAATTGGGTGAGAATTTTGGTTGGGATAGTGCTTCGACAGAAGTACTTATTTTAAAAGCCGTGGCTCTTGGCTGTCACAAGAAGCTGGATCCATATTCCAGATTCCGGAGTCAAACTTAGCGTCCAATAAATTGGAAAAATCATGTTCTCCTTTAACACATGATTTAACTGACATAGCTGGAAATGCACCTTAATAATCACGCTATCATGTTAAGCAATCATGCAGCAAAACAAAATTCATTTCCTTTTCAACTGGTCAACATATAATTAATTAAATTCTTGCATAAAATGTTGCTGCCTAAAATACTTGGCTCTTTCCCTTGCAATTTGGTACGCATGCAAAAATTACTAATTCCATGAATATTTTATCTAGTTATTTCTATTGAGAATGCAAATGTTTTAAACTACTCTAATATACGGAAAGAGGCGGGTTCGAACTCAAGTGTATGCTAACAAACTATATCACCCAATTAGCTTAACTCACATCTGTTTTACTCTGTTGGGGAGAGAGAATTTGGGTTAAGTCACATAATGACTCAATCACAACTAGTTATTTACACTAAATTGGTTGCAAACTCGCCATTCTCGTTACTTGAACCTAAGACTTTCTCATTTACGAGTGAAGATGAATACCAACAGACCGTAGTACTAATTGTTAAACTCATATCTACTTTAATTAGCTATTTCTAATTTTTGTTGTTTTTTTTTTTGGTCGACTTCTTAATAGATTACCATTATTTAAAACCACTCCAACATTTGGGATGACAATTTCTTCAAAGCATCGTCCTTCTATTTGGGGCATTTTAAAGAATTTTCTTATCATTATATTATGAAAACACATTTTTGGCGTGCTGGCAAACAATGCCTTACACGCAAGTACGACAATTTGGTAAAAAGCCACTTTTTATTGTAAGAAACAAATTTATAATTAATAGGCTTAGCACACATTTGTAAAATTAGAACTATTCGAAATTGTATTTGCGAAAAAAATAAGTATAAAACAAAGTAGTTGTCCACGGAATATCAATTCATAAACTTATAGTCTGTTTGATTTGCAACTTGAATTCGTTTTTTTAAGAGAATTTTAACAAAAAGTCCGCGGTAACGTTCATTTTAACGAAAAACCATATTTTTACATTAAAAAGTCAAATCTGGTACTATTCACTTTACTCTTTATTTTATCATTATCGTTAAAATTCAAAGTTTTTAAATCTTTTTCATTAGTTTTTTTTTTTAATTCAGCAACATTTTTTAAGTCTCAAGTCAATCATTTTTGTTTAGTATGATTATTACACATGAACATTATGAGATAATATGTATCTATCGTCTCTCTCTCTCTCTCTCTCTCTCTCTCTCCATCCTTTCTTTCTCTCTCCCCTCTCTTCTTACCTTTCTGATTTCTCTCCCCTCTCTCTCTCCCGATTCTTTTCCTCAAGCCTCAGCTTTCCTTGTATCTATCGTCTCTCACTCCAAAATCTCTCTCCATTCTCTTTCCTCTCTCTCCCTTTCTTTCGGTCCTCTCTCCCTTCTCTCCCCTCTCTCCCTTTCTTGTTTCTTTAATTGCTAAGATTTAAAAATAATTTTAAATTTTAAATCAAATAAGTTTTTTAATCTTAAAAAGAACTATACTTAAGAAATGATTTTTCAATGAATACTTTTGAAAATGATAAAAAAAATTTAGGGCTTGTTTCGTATCTTATTTAAAAAATTTTATAATTTTTCAAAACATTTCTTAAAATTTTTTATAGAAAACAATTTTTTTTATGACTAAAAAACTTGTTTGGTATGTGATTTAAAATTTTTAAATCATACAATTTAAACTAAACAAAAAGATCCAAAAAGAGGAAGTCGAGAGAGAAAAAGGAGAGAAGAGGAAAAAAAGTATGAGATGATTGGAGGAAAGAGAAAGAAGTGAGAGGATCGGAAGAGATAGAAAGAAGTGAGAGGATTGGAAGAGATAGAGAGGAATGAGTGAGAAAACCAAGAGATTGAAAAGATCGAATTAGAGAAGAGACGAAAAAAGTAAAAAAAAAAAAAGAAGGGGGGAGAGAAAGAAGAAAAAAGAGAGATAGATTTGAAGTGAGAGGGAAGGAGGGAGAGAAAATGAAAGAGTGAGTTTAAGTTTAAAAATTCTAAAAACATTTTTTATTTTATTTATGTTTTTAGAGAATTAATTATATTTTTTTAGTTAATCTTGAGTTTAACTTTTGAAAATAGTCCTACCAAATAAGTTTTTAAGATCTAAAACTTGAAAATTATTTTTGAGTTTAAAAAATTATATTTAAGTAAAGTATCAAACAGAGTTAGTAACTGCTTAAACTTTTTTTTTTCTTAAAGGAAAACGCGTGACAGCTGGTCCTTAAGTTCCTATTTTCTTTTTTTTAAGTCTTTCCTTGTCTTAAAGCCCCTTCTTTTTCTTTCTTTCTTTGTTGTCTTTTTCTTTCTTTCTTTGTTGTCTTTTTCTTTCTTTCGTCGTTGACGGGGTCTGATGATTTCTTAAATCTCCATCAATTATTCAATTCTCAACTATTACACATGAGCATTATAAGATAATATGTATAAAGTCCAGCTAACATGAATATAACTTCGATATTTATATTTCTAACGAGGTCAATTTTAAGTTTTGACTCACAGTGACTTATTATGACGAGTGTTAGATAATAAAATATATGATTTTTGTAAATCTCGTCATTTGTTAATTAATTTTTTTTTTTATCAAGTATCATCTAATCAATCTCATTTAAACATAATATAATGAAAACAAGGTATCATCTAATCAATCTCATTTAAACATGATATAATGAAAACAACAAACAAAGAGAACATTAGAATTTTAATTGAGAGGTTTAAGAGTTACTTCCCTTTAAAGCAATAATCTCAAAAAAAACAAAATAATTAGCTGTTTGATCATTCTTTAACCGCAATTAAATGAAGATTTACCAGCAAATTTATTATAATTATTATTATTTCAACAAACAATAATATCAGGTGAAAGAGTAGGCTAAGTCTTACAATGAGTCTGCCATAATAATACGGTTCAACATCGAACCTAACACCTCTCACTTACAAGTGAAGATGAATACTATTATATCGTAATACTAAGTGACCCTAGAAAAATTATTATTATTATTTTTAAAACAATTTTTCTTTTAAAATATAATAAATTCAAAGGCCGTTACCTCCGCCACTGAGGGTTGGACATTTCGTACTCCAGAGTCCATCCTTCATGCCAACTCTCTGTTTTTTCCTTCTTGTTTACATCGAACACTATATATTCCCTCCAAACCCCACACTTTTCTTCCCATACGAAACAAACCAACAACAATGACATCTCCTACTTTCCCTCACATTTCCCTCTCTTCTCTTTTCCTTCTCCTCCTCCTCCCACTTTTATCATCTGCGTCGAACCCCGCCAGCGACCGCCTTCACTTGCCTTCCCCCACCCTCTCCGCGAAACGCCAAGCGGAGAAGTTCATCAGAGCCCTCAACTTGTTCCCAAAGCATGATATCAACAGTTTACCCCACAGGCCTTTATTGGATGCTGAGAGTGATGCTGGTGCTAAGATTGTCGAGAAGCAGTTCCAAATGCCCTTTCTTGACGCCGCTTTGGGTCCTTCTGTTAAAGAGCTTGGTCACCACGCCGGCTACTACCGCCTTCCCCACTCGAACGCTGCAAGGTAAGAGCAAAAGGGTTGATCTTAAACTGTATTTCAAATCACATTTGATTTGGGAAACTGGAAACTATGAAATTCTGGACTGAATTTTACTCGAATTGCATTATTTTTTGCAGGATGTTCTACTTATTTTTCGAATCGAGGACCAACAAGAACAATCCTGTTGTGATATGGCTGACTGGAGGGCCGGGATGCAGCAGTGAACTGGCTTTGTTTTATGAAAATGGTCCCTTCCGCATTCAAAAGAACTTGTCACTCACTTGGAATGACTACGGCTGGGACAAGGTACTGTAATGGTCCTTGGCCGAGGTGTTTTTTCTTATCGTTTATGGCTTGTTTGTGTTTCTGAACGAGTTCTTGTTTGGCAGGCATCGAACATTCTTTTCGTTGACCAACCCGTTGGAACTGGTTTCAGCTATAGTACAAATTCGGATGACATTCGTCACAACGAAGAAGGCGTTAGCAACGATTTATACGACTTTCTTCAGGTTCTAATGATTACTTTCTGTTAAACAGACATGCACTCATCGTTGATGTATACGAAATCATCCATCATATGCATCAACGAACGATAATCATGATAATCATTCGCGCACGTGTGAACAACTGTCATTAAAAATGGCCTTCATAAATACATACGAAGGCACTTCATCAACATTGCAACTCAATCAAGTGAAGTTTTCCTTTATCAATCTTAGAGACCTTGAATTTACCAGCTTCTCTTCATGGTGACAGGAATTTTTCACTCAACATCCTCAATTTGCTAAAAATGATTTCTACATTACCGGAGAGTCATATGCTGGGCACTACGTTCCCGCGCTTGCTTCTCGGGTTCACAAAGGAAACAAAGCAAAGGAAGGGACTCACATAAACCTCAAGGTATCTGTAATAGTTACAACAGGCTGACTGCATTTGGTTTATCTCCTATGGTAGTTCTGATCTGATCGGTTTATCACCTCCGGTTAAACAGGGTTTCGCCATAGGGAATGGGTTGACCAATCCAGAAATCCAGTACAAGGCATACAGTGATTATGCACTGGAAATGAAGTTGATTACAAAACCTGACTACGACAGTATATCACAGATAATTCCAGACTGCGAAGAGTCAGCTAAGACTTGCGGTATTTCCTCTTCATTTCTTCTGTTCTTCACATACCTGTTGATTACGATATCAAATGAGATATAATGGTTGTTTGAACAAGATTATCCGGCTCATGTACTTTTCTGATGTTTCAAACCGTCAGCCGCCTCTACGACTGGAGACGCTTGTGAGAATTCATTTACTATTTGCAACAGCATAGTTAACCAGATAATGCATAGACTTGGTGATACAAATGTAAGAAAAAACGCAAAAATATTTATCATCGTCAGAGCTATAAGTTCTAAAAAAACCTAAAAACGAGTTCAAGTATGCTGAGAATCTACCTTATTTTGGATATATGCAGCACTATGATATTAGGAAGAAATGTGAAGGGAGCTTTTGCTATGACTTCTCGAACATGGAGACATTCTTGAACAAGCAACTGGTTAGGGATGCCCTAGGAGTTGGGGACATCGAATTTGTTTCATGCAGCACTACGGTATATGATGCTATGCAGAATGACTGGATGAGAAATCTGGAAGTGGGAATTCCTGCCCTTCTTGAAGATGGAATAAAGCTGCTTGTATATGCTGGGGAGTACGATTTCATCTGCAATTGGCTTGGTGAGCTTCTTTGTTCCAGCAAAAAGTTCGTGTTGCAATGTATTAGAGAGGATAATGTACTTTCGATAATTTTCATATCATGACGTCTCTCTATTTTGCAGGGAATTCAAAGTGGGTTCATGCCATGGAATGGTCTGGTCAGAAAGCATTTGGAGCTGCAGAAACTGTTCCATTTAAGGTTGCGGGTGCAGATGCCGGACTGCTAAAAAGCCATGGACCTCTGGCTTTCCTCAAGGTCTCTCTCTCCCTCTTTCAACTCTCTCTCTCTCTCTCTCTCTCAATCTGGTTACAAATAGTAACTTCGGAAAATTTGGTATGTAACCAAAAACAGGTTCATGATGCTGGTCACATGGTTCCAATGGATCAACCAGAAGCTGCATTACAGATGCTTACAAACTGGATGCAAGGAAATCTGGCTGTGGCCGAGTCAGGCAAAAGAGTTGCCCCAGCTGATACCCTCAATCCTAGCCTGCCACCACGCGGTTTCTAACCCGGTGTCTGTTGGGCAGGCAGAATTATGAAATACTTGTTCATAACTATAGTTACCATGTTTGCTTTGACTATTTCACCTTTTCCAACAGTGTTTCTTGTCTTTTGGAAGTTCAACTTATCTGGTAATTGCAAAGCCAGCATATTCTTTTAAAAGTTAACAACCATATATTGCAAAATTGGGTAGGTGATTCTTTGGAGAACTATGAAAAAGGGCATGAGTCCGTGCATCATTGCTAGACAAACACACCTAACTGGTACCGTTGGCTTAGTTTTTCCTAGTATAAGGGCAGGGAATCAAAATACCACCCACGGATATATGGGCATAAATGCGTGCTATACCTAAAGTGTTCAAAAAAAGGTTAAGTGCTTTGAGAACGCAGTGAAATTCAATATTGATGAAAACAAAAAGGACAATCAGTTGTATTTGCAAGCACACAGCAATATACAGTAGATGAAAACAACAGTCAAGAGCTTCTTACTCCATACAATTCCCTCAAGCTCACAATTGCTGGCTGAAAACCAGACCTCAATGGAACAACTTGAACTGCTCGCAGATGTTGTGCATTCCCGTTCTTTGGTTTGGATAGTGTCATTTTAAACATCTCTCCGTCCAGAATTCTACTAGCATTAACAGCTGCAGAAAACATCCCAAAACAGAAACAAATTAGGCAAAAAATCGAGCCACCCATTAATGCATGCCATTACTGGAAAACGGTGACATATTGTACAAGTTGAAAACGAAGCAAGTTTCCATAAATAATCAATAAGAAAATTTCTTGAAGATGAACTTAAAAATTCAACCATGGGAGAATACAATAAAGCTACCAAAAAGCATATGGCTGCTAAAAAAAGTTGCATTAATTTTAGATCATAAGAAAATTTTACTACATTCGTATTTCTCCAAAGAAGCACACCACATTGCAATTGACTACGAAAGCATCAAAACATCAGTCAAAATGGGAACATTAAGATCAAATTTTGAGTGGCAAATGTCAGCTTTAGGCCAGTTGGACACGGCATCGAAGCTTGAATTCCCCTGCAAGTAATTTTTTTTGAACAAACGATATCATCTATACTAAAGAGGTGGCCTACAATAATTTGATTCAAATTCGTCTTTTAACGAGAATCAAACCTATGATTTCTCACTTAGCAGTGAAGAGGACTTGCACTAGACCGTAGCACTAAGTGGCTCCACGTAATTAGATTAGCTTAAAATAGATTTATCGCATTGTCAAAGCAAAAGATTGAATTTTAAGTGGTGTTTATTCCTGAACAGTAAAAGCACACAAAAATTCACATAAATGGGATTATGGGTATGAAAATCTAAAGTGGGAAAGGGAGATTTACCAGCAAAAGGGTGAAACTTGGCGAAGTCAAAAAACTCCTCAGCAGAGCAACCAAATAGAACCTTGGCAGCCCTATCAAAGCATATCACATTAAGCACTTTTGTATCTGAAGCTATTGACATCTGCCAAAACAACCCAAAGAAACCCAATACGAATCAACAGAAATGAAAAGCACTTTTGAAATGGGCAAACAGCCTTCCAAGAAAAGGGTAGGGAGTTACGAGAAGGCGAAAGAGGCGTTTGGTGCGTGGAAAGCGGGGGTTGAAGGCATTGACGCTGCAGAACTTGCAGAGGGAAGAAGGGTTGTCGGGGAGAGTCCGCTCGCAGACGGAGCAGACTCTGTAGGAGAAGCCGGTGGTGTTGTCTATTGCTAGCAATGTGCAGATCATCGTCATTGGCTCATCGGCTTCCATCATTCACTCACGGCTTCACCTACTTCACTGCTTTTCTCAAAATAAAGTTGTGAGAAACTCGGGATCTGGAGGATCTTGCAACTATACGTTCATGTACTTCATTGTACATTGTATGATGAGAAACGATTTAAAATTTAAAATTAAATATAAATAGTATCTAACGAAATTTAACTGCACAATATATAATGAACGAACACGATTATAAGATTGTATGGATCCTTAGCAAAAGAATCCTACAAGAATCCTTTTTCCAAAAGGGGAGCCTTTTTACAAGGTGCAAAATTTAATAATGTATAGCTTCTTCTTTGAAAGAGGCACCATTTGGTGGCTTAGCTAGGTAATTCACTATTTTAGAAGTTGAAAAAACTTACAGAGCCATTTTAACTTCCTTGATCACCATCGTGCAATTTAACAATGCTAATAATTGAATCTAGAATATATAACTTTGAAATTCATTCTTAACCGCTGAACCATCAGTGACGGTTCTTACAATCTATAGGTAATGCATCAAAATTTTAGCAATCATTTGCAATCCAAGCCCAAACCCAAAACGTTTGACAACAAAAAAAGAATCCAAACCCATCATGGCCCTGAAAAATGTGACCTCAAATTGTTCAGGGTCGAAGCCGCATTGGGCTTTTAGCCAAGTACACCTCTCTAGTTCAGTTCTACTGTCGCCTCTCTTTAAACCTTGTCTTCCCAAAACTCAAAAGGTAAAATCATCGGTTCGGTCCACTTTATTCAGAGTTTCGGAAGACACTTGAGTTTCAGGTAATTTCTTCACTTGGACTTTGAGTTTGATCTTCTTTTTCTCATTCCTCAGGTGCAAAGTACAAAAAGAGTTTAAGATCGAGTTTAAGAGTTATCTAATTGGAACTGAAAGTGATAATTTTGTTCTTTTTTGTTTAATGTAAGGAAAGGTTCTTGCTTAATTACACTGAAAAGCTCAATTTTTTCTTGAATATTATGGTAGGGTGGCACTTCAATTTGCTTATTTGAGTAGGGTTTTCAGCTGTGGAATATCAATTTTCTTGGGGAACATTGTAGCAATCAAATGGAGCTTGACAGGTATTAATATTATGGGCAATCTTTACTATTTAATTGTTTGTACTTGTTACATTTTTATATAAAGTTTTGAAATTTTTGGATTTGTTATTAGAAAATCAAAATTCTTATGCAATTCGAAAAATCAAACCTTCCGAAACGTAATTGTTTGTTAAAGGTGGTGAGATTTTGTGCTGCAGATTAAACTCGCCCACCACGTTTACAATGAGTTTGGAAGTTTTGGGCCATGACTTACAGTTTGCTCAGGTTTGTTCTCTTCTCCCTTTTTTGCGTTTGTTTGTTTTTTTTTTTTTTTTTTTTTTTCGGATTATTGTTACGCGCTAAGAAAGATCTTTGCAATCAGAAATTGTTAAGGTTAGTGCTTTTGGAAGGATCCGCCCTGTACTTTTCTGTATGATTATTTTTGCTATTTACCGTCTACCACGGCTTGTAGGTATCCTATGTTCTGTTTCATGAGTTACTGGCTTTGTAATCATATATGTCCTAATAAAATCTTCCCTGACCGTGGAATGTTTTATCTTTTCCGTAGGATCCCAATTCAAAGCATTTAGGAACTACAGTTTGGGATGCCTCATTGGTTTTTGTCAAGTTTCTGGTAATGACTGTTATCCCCCCTAGACACTCTTGTACAAGTTCCGATCATTTTGGTTTCCACAATTCGCAAAATACGCATGGGATATAATGCGTGTAGGTGACTTTTTATGATTGATTTTAAACTTTGTTAAAGTTTGAGGCCTTTGCACCTTGTTGAATGCAATATTTGGATATTTTAGGAACATCAGGGCTGTTCGTACTTAAAATAGATGTGTTTATGCAATATGCATTGATGATTTTGAATTTGATCAAATGAAAGGAAATGAAAAACAACCAAGGCGTTTAGGTAATGATCTTCCCATTTTTATTCTAAATGATTCTGTAAACCAGAAAAAACGATAAAGTGATAAAACCAACAACAAACATATTATTGAGTAGCTGCTATTTAACGTCATTTTGGTTACTAGGAATATCAAAGGATTATTCAACTCTTTCATTTTGGGTCAAAGGGACTACAATTATCGATTAAGTATTTTAATCGAAAGAGGCTTTAGATGCCCCAGCTGCTCTGTTGACTAACAAGGGGGAGCAACCACATGGACCCTTCGTTTATGTTGTTGCCATCATTTTCCTGGGAAGAGCCGGAGATTATTTCTCAGAGGAGCCGGCAATCCCTAAGGCTGCTACGTTCCTGAGTCGACAGAAAATTTTGATACTCTGTCCCTCTTGATAAAATGATTTTTGTGCTCTACGTATAGATTTTTATGCTGTCAGTGGTGTTAGCCTATCCCTTTTGGTTAGGTATTGGATTCTCTTTGGATCCTGAGCACATCATTTGTTCATACATACTGTACTTCCGTGGCAGATTTTTCTTTATGAATGTAAATGTGACATTTTTGGTTATTTCAGGAAAAGAATTGCAGAAAGGGAAGGTTCTCACCACCTAAAATGAAAGGAAAACGTGTCATTGAACTTGGAGCAGGTTGTGGAGTAGCTGGGTTTGGTGAGTTCTTTTTTTCTTATTAAGTTTATGTTAAATTTTATCTGTATGATTTTGTATGCTTTCCCCACTTGAATTTGGTATTTTAATTTTCTTTCTCAAGTGTTATTCATCTGTTTTATCTGGTTTTTCTCTTTCAGGCATGGCATTACTGGGGTGTGATGTGGTTACGACAGATCAAGTGGAGGTTTTGCCATTGCTAATGAGAAATGTTGAACGGAACACTTCAAGGATCACACAGATGAATTCTGGTTCTAGTTTGCTTTGAATCTGCTGAACAATTTTTAATCCTTTGTGCATGTACTAGCTCTCATAAATGTGCGCGTGCATGTGAGTGTATTTATATATATATACATGCATTTGGTGTGCCCTAGTGCGGTAATTAGTAAACTATTTAGCTGTCGGAGGGCATTACTTTGAGTCTTGGAGCTACCCATACATCAATAAAATTTGGGTAGTTATACTACTTGTATCCATCAAAAGAGGTATGGGGCTAGAACTCGTTGTTTTTGAGAGATTTCACCAAAAGAAGCACCATAACAGCCTTGATTGATTGTGTGTAAGGGAGGGAGGGATGGAGACCATAACATATTTATATGTTAAGATTTGATATGGTGTAGAGCAGTTAGGAAGATAATTACAGTAAATTGGACCAATATTGTTTTCTGACTTCGCATGCGATTAAATGTTTTGTTTATGTCCAGTCTGTTCCATGTAGGAAGTATAAGTCTTTCAACACTCCCAACTGCGCCAATTGGTTTTGTTTTTAAGTTTTGATTGGTTTAGTCAATTTAATTGCCCTTTTTGGTTTTTGCTCGCAACTCATGTAAGCTATGTTTTTTTAGACTCATTTGGGTCGATCCAGGCAGCAGAGTTGAGCTGGGGAAATGATGATCATGTAAGAGCTGTTGAACCACCATTTGACTACATCATTGGAACTGATGTTGTAAGTTCGTTTGGTTGCAGCTGAAAATTGAAACTTCAAATTTCTTCAGTAGTTTATGGACCTACAATGGCAAATAGTTATATCTCTAGTATTTATCATGATATGATAGTTTTGGATTTCATTAGTATTCAGTGTGAAGGGCTTGTAATGAATTACATCTGAGTAAGGCTGGAGTCCCTGAATGTACGGAAGGTTTTAAACAGAAATGACCCGTTAATTGGTTGACCAAACCATGTCCTTTTCACCAAGATGAAGAGTAAAATCTTTTCATTCTTTTAGCTTTCATTTCCCAAGTATAATGGAAACGGAGCATCATGCCCAGATATCCAGATTGAACTTCTATTTTTAGGGATTTAAGTAATGGCTTCTTTTTAGAAAGAAAAATAAAACTTTCATATGTGAGTAACTCAGTCGCACTCTTTCTTGATATTGATTCTCGAATTCATTTTACGCACTTGCTTTAGGATCTGATCACCCAAGTCTTCTTTCCTCCTCCCATTTCTATTTTCCTTTTGTTTGCTTAGGGATTCCAGAATAACATCGGTCCTTAAAACATCATGTATGATGTTATATTCCTCTTTTAACATTGTTAATTAGTATTAACTGATCTATTTTCTACTTGGTTGGATTTAAGGTCTATAAAGAAAATCTGTTGGAACCATTGTTGCAGACAATACATGCATTATCAGGGCCGAAAACTACAATTTTGGTATGGTACTTCATACGTTTTAGATTTATTTTTTAATTTGTACTTTCTAAACATTGTTATTGATGCACTGGTTTGCTTCAATTTTGGGAAGATGGGGTATGAGATTCGATCTACAAGTGTCCATGAACAAATGCTTCAAATGTGGAAAAGAAACTTCGAGGTGAAAACTGTTCCAAATTCAAAGGTACAGCTTAGTTTCTCTAACACAGTATATAGATCCAAATAATTATCTGTATTTACATTTTCTGCATGTGGTTTGCAAGTGAAATTCCTGGTTCCTGTGACATGTAGTTAATATCCAAATAAGAGCTATGGCGTTGATTACATTTGATGTTAGTATAAGGATTGAATTATTGATATTCTTAGGGGCTAACTTATTGCAGGGTCTTGTGTCATTCATGATGCACCACATATGAGATTGAGCTTGGGAGAAGGTTTACTCTTACCTTTGTTTGATTTTCCTAAATACAAGGTGTTTTTTGTTTCGAACTCCTGCAGATGGACAGTACCTACCAACATCCAGATATTCAACTTTACATTATGACATTAAAGCCTCCGGAGGGTTACGCAGAAAACGCAGCTGAGGTGATTGATCAGAATGAGGATGAAGTGGAGGGTGGTGCAGAAGAAGTGGATAAGGTGATTGATCAGAAAGTTGATGAAGCAAATACAAGTGAAGAAAACGCAGTTAATGTAATCGATCAGAAAGTTGATGAAGCTGAGAGCCGTAAGGAAAAAGGTGACATTGGTTCCCTCGATGAAAATGTTGAGGAAGATTGTGAGCCAATGACAAGGCTTCAGAATGATAAACTTACTGATTGGGAAGCTAGAAGGTATGGTTCAATGGCTGCGCGCCTTCTTCACGACATCAAAATTACCTAATTATGAGGTTCGGTCATTGTGATGTCATGCGATGCCTTGCTGCTTGGATTGTTGGGTTCAAATACTCATCTAGTTTCTTGCCTTAATTTTAGTTATTTTAGACGTCGATACATACTGTTTAGTACTTCAATCACTTCTTTTTTGTGGAATGCCATTCTCCAAAAAGATATGCAATGTGTTGTGCTTTATATACAGTGCAATCGCCAATGATCTTGATGGATTCCTCACATTCGGTTTCGTAGCTTGATAACTTTATTTGGGCTATGCGGATGTTACTTGTGTGTAAAATCAACAACTTTTCATGGTCATAAAGTTCGAATAAACAGGAAGACAAATAAGATCAAGCATTATAGCAGGACGATGAAATGGGCACGGACTAAGCATACTTCGTCGTAACCCCGGTGTAGTGTTACGGCGTTACCTCCCCTTTAGAATCGTGCCATGTCTTTATTTTTTTAAAGAGACGATAGTAGATTTCTTTTTATCAAAAAGAGTAGAAATGGTGTACAATTTTTGAATCAATACCTAACACATTCTTCTACAAGTAGATCAATAAGAAAACTTGGAGGAGAACCATGCCATTTACAGCTTTGGCTCAAAGAAAGTCCAGTCCGTGCAAGGCGATGAGTGACAAAGTTCGCATTGCGGCGAGTATAGGCAACAGTAGCTTCAGTGATTGATTGGTGTAGTGCTTTGATGTCCAGAAGATAAAAACAAGTAGAATTGTTACCAATGCAACTATTTAATGTAGCCCATAAGATTGAAGTGGAAATGTCTTACCATAATTCCAAGAATCCTCCTCGACTATAGGGAGGAGCGTCAGGGGTAGCAGCGGCGTGGTAGGAGGTGGTTGGGAGGTGAAGTTTTTCAGAGTCAATGTTATTTAGGAGAGCTTCCAGCCCTATCCCGGGCCTACAAGCTTACCTATTTTTTGCTTCAGTACTTCTCACTTCGAAGTTAGTTGACTTCGGAAAGATTGTCGGATTAACTATATTCCACGATAAGGAAGCAAAGGATGAAAAGTCCCCAAGTGTTTTATTCTAACATGTTTAATGACTTGAGTAAAATAAACTTAACAAAATATTTCTTAAGTCATTCAAGTCCCTCTAGGAATATATAGGCACATTCCGTCTAGCATCCAGCTTTTCAGCTATGAATCCGGAACTCCGACCAGGGGAACTCTAATAGATCAAATCTTTGAAGAGACAAACAAGTAGGACTAGCCAGATTTGGCTAGCTCCTAATCAACAAAAAGTTCAAAAATCATTTTCACTACTAGAAATTTGGCTATCAGCCACCCTTTTCATTTAGTGGCTATTGTCAAGTGTTGCCACTCACATTGGTGGCAAACCTCTATGCCCACCAAGCACCCACTAAACTAGAGAGTGTGGCCTATGTAGAGGACTCTATTGTAACAATGACTACCAATATTTCATTGGTGCCTTTCCTGCAGTGCCACTCTTATTCACATCAGTGGCAAAATTGCAAAATAATATTAAAAAAAGAGGATGCCCTGTGTGGGCACCCAGATTTGAATAGGAATATTTTCTTTTTTTTTTTTTTTTTTTTTGTGAGGAAACAAATTGTAAGATCTTTGATATAAGAATATACTACAAATTTGCATAACTGATCTTTAATACAATTTTGAACAAATGTTGGGACTCAAACTTTGAAAAGTGTTTGAAGACTGTTTCTAAAGAGCTTAATCATGTCATGCCAATCTCTCTTTGGCGATCAAACCATTGTCTCTCCAGGTGGGATGTTTGAGCTAGGTTTCTTCAAACCAGGTCAGCTTTCAAACTACTATATAGGTATATGGTACTCCAAGCAAGTAGTATCTAAGAGCAAGTAGTATCTGAGAGGACTGTTGTTTGGGCAGCAAATAGGGAAATACCAGTCAAAGGCAGCAGCAGCAAGAGCAGATGATGATGATGATGCTGCGATGGGAGTTCAAACTAAACATCAAAATATTAGAGAGAATTGAAGCAAAGAAATACTCAAAAAATTACATTCACATATCCCAAAACAATATAAAAAATAAAAAAAAGAAAAAAGGAACAGAAATCTGGAAGAAGATGAAAAAATCGATGCAAAACTCTGCTGCACTAAAAAAAAATCAAAGGCAAGTCCTGATCGCCAAATTTCGAGCACAAAGAGCTGATCGCTAGAAAGAAATACAAAAACACATTGTTACTGAAGTTTTACTTGCAGCTCATTAGCATAGGACCATGCAGATGGCTCTAGATTTTTACACAAATCTGGAGGGCACCAAGACTACCAACCATATGCTTAAAGGAACTTTAATTTGTTTGCATAACTACCTGCTAACCAAATCTTGAGCATATTGATAAACCATAAATTTAAACACGTAAGCGGCCAGATTGCAAGCACGAGACTAATTCCATACCTCAAACCGAAGGCGACGCGCTGTCTAGCAGTCCAAACCTTGATCCTTGATAAATTGAACTTCCTTCTTTGATCTAGCAATCCAAAAATAGATAAATTAGGCAGCATGTCATATCAATATAACACACCTATACGTACACACACATACCAAAACAGCCTACATTCAGATTTGCATCATATCCTTGTTTCTAACTCTCTGGGGAATTTTCACAAACACCCAATAGGCAAGATTTGCTTCAATATAAAAGAAATCTGATTTAGTCAGTGATCTCAATTGCATGTATATCTGAACGACCATGCTTGTTAGTCAGTCATGTTATAGGATGTATTTAACACTTACCAAGCGATTCTAAAACAACATCCTACATACATATTATGTTGTCAAACTATGAATCAAGACAAAACTTTCCTACTTTGGTAATGTAATCTCCTAGTCTAGTTACGATTTGGTTCCTGTATTTTGACTTGAAAACAATTTTGGTCCCTTAGAAGTTGCCAATGGCTCCCGAATTGTAACTGGAAAAAAACTCAACACAGCTATGAAAAATTAAAACTCGAGGCACCAAAGCGTGAAAAAAAAGAAACCAAAATAGTTAAATTTACCCTTTTATATCATACATACCATTAAAAATTTGTTTAGAGATAAAAATGGTAGTCATAGTAAAGAATCCAACTTGACCAAAGAAAGTGGATTTCCTCACTTTCTAGTGCTAACTAGCAAGCTTGCCCGCGCGGTGCTGCGGGTTTTGAAACTGTATAAAACATGTAGAAAGAGGCAAAAAGGTAGGTGTTATTCATTTGATCTCACAAAGACTGATATTATTGCAACACATTCCAACTGGAATTTAAAAAAAAAACATAAACCTTTACTTTCTATGAACTATCACCAGAATTCTTCTCTGAACAATCATCAAGGGAACATCCTTTCTACTTTTTTCATAACTTCCTAACCATGCTCAGAAAGATTAGGTTTAATAAAAATACCATTATTTTAAAATCATGGATGATTCAATTTTAACCTTAAAATCGAGACCATCTCCAGTTCTTGGCAAATCAAATTTCAATAAATAGCCACATATGTGAAATAAACAAAAAGAAACAGATATCAGAGAATAATAGCTTACCATCAACAAAGATCTTGCTACTGTCTTTGGAGGTTTGGAGGCTTTTTTTTATGTTCGTATACTATTAAAAACAAAAAACATATGTTAGTAAAAAGCAAATAGCATTGACAACTGATTTGAAAAACAAACTGAAACATGAAAAGAAAGAAAAAAAAAAAAAAGGAGTGACTTCTAAAGCTTTTATTTCTCCTGTCAAATGAAATTGATAGTGTATCAGATCTTAGTGTTTTTCCCTGATATAGGATGTACTGTTATTCACTAAGACAAAGATCCAACCTTGACAACCATTAAATGACTCTGCCTGACCATTTTGTTATCATGGGTAATCTCTATCAGAAACATTCTATTCATCTTTTTATTTCAACATAATTTTAACACGTATTGGTCTATAATGTGATTTGTCTTCTTTTCAGTGGACATCTGATTAGAGTTATAGAGTGTTCCTTCTTTTTTTATTTCACATATAATACAGGGATTGATCATGACATCTAGCAACTGATAATACATGCATGCTCTAAAATTATAAAAAGAAAATTTAAACACAAAATCCATCTGTAAATCGAAAACAACCTATTTACAACAGCACTTACTTGATTTGTTGCGTGAGCGCTCTTAGGAGCTTTATCAGAGTGCTCCAACCCAAGGTACTGCTCCCATGCACCATCAACATCTCTTCTCTGAGGAAAACAAAGGCCATAACAACGGAATTAAAAAATTCAGACACACTAAGAAAGACGAAAAACTCACCAGGAGACTCTAGGTTATGTGGGTAAGAAATGGATTTCGATCAAATTAAGAAAAAAGGCAAAAAACTTCTAACAGCTCAACGATTTCCAAGGAAAAGTAAATTAATTTCTGAAAGAAAATAGAAAAAATAAAGTACATGCAGAAAATCAAACATATCAACTTCCACACTAATCCAAAGCACAATTAATTGCATGAATATTAAATTAAACATGCAAATAATGAGATTGAATGTGCGAACCTGAACAAAACAACGAAATTGACGGCGGCGCGAGCATGGCTGAGATCACAGGCGGTAATTACATAGAAGTACATGCTGACCTCGCCGGGTTCCATCGGCCTGCCGATCTGGAGAAAGATGGCAACGCTAAACAGCAAGTAAGACGGCGATGCGGGAGAGAAAAAAACCTAGGTTCCAAAATACCCAAAAGGTGAGAACGGCGAGAGAAGCGAAATTGGGAAGAAGTCGAACTGGAAGGGCCATCGATGATGGACGCGTGGGCTAGAAGGGAAACGTCGTCCATTCGCTATGACGGAATCAAACCACACAGACAAAGGATGATCAACGCGTGGCAATCAGGGGCATAACAGATATTTAACTGTGCAAAGCAGCAGCAAAACGGCTAAGCAAGCTAAAAAATCAGGGGCATTTCCGCCCTTTTACTATTGCTGAACAGTGCTGGAACCCAACTGGGTTTTAGTATATATAATGATATATTTACCGTGAGACTACAAAAGCTTTATAAAAGCAGTTGCTTCTTTTTTAATTTGTCCATCAAAAATATTGCAACTGCAGATCCTGGGAATTTAAAAAAAAATTCCAAGCAAGAGATAAAATGTGATAGTTGTGGTTAAGGAGAAAATCACCATGTTCACCTTAATTTTTTTAGAAGAACCCTCTTCACCTTAGTTTCACCCACAACCTTCCAAGGCTTCCATTCTTCTCGGCCCAGGTTGGAAACAACCTTGATTCACCTTCCTTGTCCCCAATCTTCAACATGCATACAGAAAGTGGAATTAAAATTTGAAATCTAGAATTGATCCAAAAAAAATCACTTACACTAGGGAACACCCATGAGGAGAGGATCATTTTTACCTCTTGGTTGAGGTCCAATTCAGGCAGACTTTGCTGGAAATTGGCCGGAATACCTATGGTCACCGTTTCTTAGATCTGAAATTGAGAAAATTCGGCTACAAATTTGGAGAAACTAACTTGAGGGTTGGAAAGAGGAAGGGAAGAGGATTCTGAAGGTATAGTTTGACGCTCGTTGGTGACGGGAGGACGGAGCCACTGCTGCATGAAAGAGAAGAGTATATGGGAGGTAGGAGAGAGAGAATGAAAGGGGAAGCGAGCGGAGGGAATGAAGGGGAGGAGTTGGACTTTTGTGAAGGGGAGAGAGGTTTAATGGTTTTTTTTTATTTGTTTTATTGGTGTTCAATAAATTGTATTGGTGCCCAGTTAATCACAAATGCACAAAAAAGTATTTTTAAGAAATAAAGTTAGTTAACAGACACCAATATTGGTGGCTGATTTTTTTAGGCCACTGATATCAGTGGCATCTCATTGTAAAGCCACCAAATAATAGTAAGAGTAGCAACTTTATATCTATGACCACCAATTGCAAAGGGTGGGCAAAAAATGGTGTGTAATGGGCATAATTCTAGTAGTGTTTGATACACATTCTGCATAATTTATTCTGGATTTCACTTTCGTTTGCGGATGTGCGTGAATTTGGTTTGATCAATTAGGGTTAATTTGGTCTTCTTTTGATGATTTGATTTGTTTAATATAGGTCTTAGATGTCAATATGTGTCAGTCTTCGATGATTCATTCAATTTTGGTGAGTCACAACTAATGTGTGCAATTTGCCAAGAGCCATAGTGTGCGCTACATAAGTCTTAGTGAATCAAAATTTATTTGTTGGTGAATATTTATTTCACCAAAATTTTAATGTCTATAGTTACCAAATAAGATTCTAGTTTCCAAAGAAGTGAAAATTGAAAAACCAAAAACTAAAAAATATAAACGAAATAGTTATCAAACGGCTCCTAAGTTTTTCTCGATTAAAATTGGTGAGAGTCAGTATTTGAGGCAATGAATCAATTAACGAAACATATCAACTTGGTATGAAATGGATAAGGCTATAAATCGGGTCGAACGTTTCATGTTCGACTTGAGCAAGAATAATATCATTTGGGTTGGTAGATTCACAAAACAAGTGAATTGGTTTGGTGTGCATGAAGTGTTTGATCCATCAAATAGAGGTCGTCATTTAAACCCTTGCTAAAACTGGGGAGAACGGATAGATGCCAGTGTTCGGGGGCGTAGCATAAGTGACGATAAGAATGCACCACAAATTTATTCGCAGGTTTGATTCCATTTTGGTTTCGAGCTCATGGAGAGAGAGACCATTATTTCACCCTCAAAGAATTTTGTGGCTGTAGGTGTAATCAACTCCATTAATTGTTGCAAGTGGTAGATTGCTCAGGTAGTTAGAGCATTTTTCTTCAACTCACTGTGAGTCGCGAATCCAACAAAAATTATTTGAAGGGTTATATTTAAAAGCCCAAAACATTTCTTAGACATATGATAACTTTAGAAATTAAACCATAGTTTCATCATTCATAGATTATAAAACAAATAACAATACAAGTTACAATTGTCCACGACACGTTTTCAGTATAAATCACCGTGCTAACACTCAACCATTGAATCCTCATTAGGTTTCGCAATAAACTTCATTGCGAAAAAGGCTCTTTCCACTAAATTAGTAACAACCGGTAGAATTGAAGCCAATATAATTAGCAAATACACATGATTATATACTATGTTCCTCCCTGTTTCCACCATTTTATGTTTGCAAGGCTACCAGTTCCTTTCAATTGAGCAAATTTACTACTTGAATAGCAAGAATATAATACTCAAATTGATATTTAAAATAATAATAAGAACGATAATTTCAGATATTTTATCAAGCAGTTAGAGAGCATGTTATGAAGGACAACTCCAACCTTCAAAGAGGCAGCTTCCAAATCATTCATAGAGATTCATTGAAATTTGGAAGGTCAGCTGACCCCCGCCCCTTAATGGATCCGCCGGTGCTCAATGTGTCCGAATTCAAACTCTCCACAATTGCTGGCATCAACCCAGAATTTGCTTCTCTTTTCCATATTTTGTGTCGGGTCATCTATGTACGAACTAAAATGGCCCAAGCTTCGACCCATAAAAAAAATGAGGACCAATATTTTGACCCACAATAAATAATAATGAGGCCCAAGCTTTAGACCCGCAAATTTACTTTAATGCATGCACCCAATTTTTTTGCTTTTGTTTTTTGTTTTGAAAGTGTTTTTTTTTATTTATTTATTTTTATTTATTTATTTATAATAAAAGTGATATTCTACACTGATCTACAGTTAGGAGGAGGGATGAGGTGTTTGAACTTGGAACACAATGAGTTGAAGAAAAAAATCTAATCATCAGGGCAATTGAGCACTTACTATTTTTTTAACTTTAATATGGTCAACTTCATGTGGTTATGAAAATTCTCCAATGCACATTAAATTTGCACACCTTACAAAATGGAACAAAATCGTTGGCTCACTGTTAGACCAATTGGTCTATTGACTTTTGTTCCATTGTGCACTAGAAGAAGAAGCCCCGAGAGAGAATATAACAGAGTCGTGTTTGAAACAAACGTTGAAGATGAAGGATGGTGCCATGAAATATATTCTTCGGAGGTGGGCCTAAACCTAGTGGAAACATGTTAAAACAAATCAAGTAATTGGAGACGATTGAGAAGAGACTACTTCTGCTCAAAGATCTTGGATACTGCCATGCATGACCTAGTAGCCAGGCTAGCTACGACTCTTGTCCGACGGTATAAATCGTCAAATCCTTCTCACAAAGTGCTGCTGTTTGTATTCTTGTAATACAGAGTGTGTGTTGCGAGAACTAGAAGGGTACGAACAACACTTCATTTTACACAATAAGAAGAAGATTATCGTCTGCTGCTAACTTGTGCTGCGTGCGCATACTAAGGATTAGTAGTCCTTGATTAATGGAGAAATTTTTCATTGTGACTGGAACACAAATTGTATACCACGTGTTTTAATATAAGTCATGGTAAATTTTATTTTTGAAGTTATTAATTTTTTAACACACATATCTCACCATTTATATAAAGACACATGGTGTACCACTTCGTGTTCCGATCACACTGAAAAATCTCTCAATTAATGTTGAGGTATCACGTTGATCAATGGCGCACAATCAGCCATGCAATATGTACCTAGTTAGTTGTGGAGGTAAATATCGATTTTTGTTGAGCTGCATCGTAATTAAGAGTATATAGACATTCACACGAGGTTCTTTATTGTTAGTTTTCTCACTCTCTAATATTGTTTGTATGAAAAAAATAAACATATTAAGGACACACTTTATATGTAATAGAGTAAAAGAAAAGAAATAAAATGCTTTGTATCATTGTGTAAGCTATTGATAAATTTTTACACACCTCATTTTGTACAACTAATGTAGTGGCTTGTCAACTTTTCTTGTAGGGATTAGATGAAGTGATTTCAAGTTTAGGAATGTCTATGAAATGATAGAGATACTATTATTTATTTAGATTGTCACACATTCACATGCGAAAAGACTGTTTATTACGAATCATGTGCAAATGCAATCAGGCATTCCATAATATCCCATTCTCTAATAAAGAACCTTTCCATGCATGCATACCAATCTTGAGTTGAATAAGAATGGAGACAAATCAAATAAATAGATTTCAAACCATATTCATTGGAATTTGCAGAGAGTTTCTAATCCTTTATAGTAAAGTTATCCTTCTTGTCAAATTCAAATAATTTCTTTGAAGTTCCTCCCAACCAAATGAAGTCTTAAGAGTTTATTGAAAATATATTGATCGAAAAACATGTTATAGCTGATCAAATTAATAAGTGCATGAGTCAATACAAATTCATATACTTGATTAATGAAAAACACAATCAAATGAGTTGCTTCGTTACCAACTTCAAGCTCAACAGCGCATATTCAATCATTACTAAAACCTGAGGAATTTATAGTTAAAATGTTTTAAGTACGAATTCCTACTATAGAAAAATTCCAAATTAACATTCTTTTGGTAAACTTTATAGGCCGAGCATGGCTCACCACTAACATCCTAGATATTATCTCAACGTAATCACCTATTAATAGGTGTTGAGTTTTATCACAAAGGGTCTCGGTGATGTTAGGGGTGAAAACTTAGGCAAGTCCTCAGGAGTTTCCGATATTTCGAATAATTCCATTAGGATTGGGGGCTTTATATATGACCATACCCCCTTCCATATATTAATTGCATATTATTTTGTCATATGCCCGATGCGGGATCCTATTCCCCAACACTTTTCCTCACGAGGGCCCTCACATGGGGTCACATGGGAAACCAATTCCACATCGGGAACTGGTCAAGTCATTATACCAGAGTTAATGCAACTTCTCGAGAGCCGGTCATCATCCAGAGACTAAAATCAACACAACTTTTTAAGGGTCAAGTCATTCAATATCCTTAAGCTAGATTTACCGCAACTTTTCAAAAGCCCAACCTATGGTAGCAGATTTGAGCTCAATAAATTTGGCACAAGACATGTCGAAAGAATAGTCTGCTCTGTTACCATGATAAACTTTACAGACCTAACATGACAACCACCGATATCATCAATATTGTCCCCACTTTACCACTTTTTATTTAGTGTTAGGTTTTATCATAAAAGATATTAGTGATATTAGAGGTAACAACTCTCATATATTAATTTTGTATTATGTTGTTATATACCCGATGTGAGATCTTGTTCTCAAACATCTTTGCCACGGCAATGTCAAACTCCAAACTATATCTGCACCAACCTCAACCACCCGAGAAAAAGGGTTTAAAAGATGTACTTTAATTTGTTTAATAAATTAAACAACAGGTACACCAATTGAAAAATATATAGCGGAACTTAGTAGTTCATTTGTTTTTGAGTATTTTTTAATAAAATATTCTATGATGTCAGATATATTAGATATTTTAAACTTTTAATCGCAAAATTTTAATAAAAAATTTAATATTTAAAAAACTCGAAATATTCGATACTCCCATGAAAAAAATCCCTCCATTGGCATTCAAATTCTTAGCTCCCTAAATGCCTTAGAGATTTGACAGATTGATTGCTTTTTCTTCCTCTCCCAAAGCCTCTAATCCGTGGAAGTTAGGACCAAATCTCAAATCTCAGCAAACCAACCCACCCCATAT